GGCATAGCACAAGGGTGCCCTTTATCACCACACTTGTTCATCGTCGTACAGAGCGTGATGCTGTATGATGCTTTTGACCAACTCGATCTACAAGAAGATCCGGCATATGTCGTGACTCGCGATATCCTTTACGCCGACGATGCATTTCTACTTTCGCGTCACAAGCAAAATATGGAAGATATGCTCTTGGCCATTATTACAGAAGGTAACAAATACGGCTTGGAACTGAACTGGGACAAATCTTTACACATGCAACTATCAACACGCAACGTAATATCACGACCAGACGGGAGCGCAATCAAGTCCGTCCGCGAAGCTGTTTACCTAGGAGGACTGATTACCTGAGACGGGAAAGTTGCCACGGAACTGACACGGAGACTAGGGGAATGTACAAAGATGTTCAAGCAGTTGGATAAGCTCTGGAGCCACGCCTCGATTGGAAAACGGCGAAAGCACAGTATTTACACAAGCTGTGCGGTGAGCAAGCTGCTCTGCTCATTGGACTCAGTTTGGTTACTGAAAGCAGACAGGGCGCGCCTTGATGCTTTCCACTGCAGGTGTCTACGACGCATTGTCGGCGTACCTCCTTCGTTCATCTCGAGAGTTAGCAACGCAGACATTCTGAAGAGAGCTGGCGCGAAACATCTGTCGGATGTTCTTCTGGACAGGCGTGAGAAGGCGTACCTCAAGATTTCCAGAAGTGGGCATCCCTCCTTGGTGCGACAAGTTGTATGCGAGCCAGATGGGTCACCAAAGTGTTGTGCGCTACATCGACGACGAGGCCGGCCTCGACAGCAGTGGGCTTCTTCAGTGTACGGTCTGAGGCAATCTCGCCTTCCTCCTTCCCCTCCCCCTTCTTAGTTTTGCAGCACTCATTCTACACTTTCAGTTCATGTTTTCCGTTCGGTTGCCAACGTCGCAACCAGAGTTTGCCAGCGCGCCCCACCGGATGCACGGCCGAGCGAGCGAGCGAGCTCTTATAACCCCCCGAGTGAGGTCACCCCCTCCACTGCCACTCGGCATCCGTCTGGGCCTACTCCGCCTGGACTCGGCCTCTCCTGATGACTAGGGTGCTGAGTCCGTGCAGAGCAGATCCACACGGGGTGCTCGGTCTCCGTCTGCGCTCGCTCCGTCTGGGCGTTTGCCTCTCCGCATCGGATGCCAAGCCCATGCGGAGTATGTCTATACGGCGTGCTTGACCTCCGTCTGGGCTGACGCCGTCTGGGCGTATATAGTCCTTCCTGAGGGGGGGGGGAGGCAAGGCAGCACGATGGCAGAAGCCGGGGGAGCGAGGATCGAGCTTCGAGGCTTGTTTTTTTTGTTGTCCGAAGTTTCCGATCGTCCTGGAGCGCCCTTGTGACCACGGCTGGATCCGCCCCGAAATGATAGTCAGAATTCGCCCAGGAGAGAGGTCCAGGGGCCGACTTCTTCTGCTGACCCCTGAACAGGGGCGCTGGCAGGAGGGGGGCGTCCTCGCAATGAAGTGAGCGTCGCGGGCGACGTTATGGTGGGGGCGAAGGTTCGAGGTTCGATATTTTCGAACGTTGTCGTGGGTTCACGGTGGCTCTTCAGTCAAGCAGTGGCGAAGCGTCTTGGTTCGCCTACAGGGCCACGAAAGAATGTGCGAAGAACTTTTTGTGGTCTACACGAACTGTTCTTAGCACCTTCCCGGCAGAGTCTGTTTTGTTTTAACACTTCGGGTTCATGGTCCAGAACATCGCTTTTGTTCTTAGAACAGCTCTGCGTTCTCAAAATATTTGTTCATAGGTTTATAAGAACGCCAGGACGGGCGGACCCTGTTCAATTCCACCTCGGGGCTGCTCTCCAGCAGCTGCGCCTCGCCGAGAGCGTTCGGGGGGGGGCCCGACCGTCCCTTGTGGCATGGCCCGACAACCAGGAGGTGGAACCTTGTTTGCCATGAGGCAAACAGTTTAGTTTCAGGCCTCTCACATGGGATCCGAGCACAGTGAAGTCGGGCCTGTCCCCCTACAGGGGGATTTTCGACGAACAATAAAAAAAAACCCAAATACCCCACAAATATCAAAACATAGTCCAAAACTAGTCCCCCGACTATTTTTGGACTATCATTGGGCTATTTTTGTTCGTCGAAAATCCCCCTGTAGGGGGACAGGCCCGACTTCAGAGCAGAGGGCGTCGGAGGATCGCGCCGTCTCGGCGACGCGTCGCCGCTGCGGCTCGATGTTGGAGCCCGGGATCGCTTCGTGCCGACGCGTCGCCGCTGCATCGGGCGATAGGCGGGGCGTTCCTCCGACCCCCTCTCTGCTCGGAGACCATCTGTGTGCCGCGCCTTCTGCGAGGGGGGTGGCGGCGGCCTCCTTCGCCACGGGGCAAGCGGCGCTTCACGGGTCCGGGAGGGACACGGGTTCGTGTGGCGGTCTTTTTCTCCTTGTGGTGGCCTCCTCTGCTCGGGCAACAGCCTGTGGCACGCCTCTGCGAGGGGGGGTCGGCGGCCTCGTTCGCCACGGGGCAATCGGCGTTTCACGGGTCCAGGAGGAGCACGGGTTCGTACTCGGGCCCTCCGCGCGCCCCAGGGCCGCCAGAGTGCGAGCCGGGGCGGAGAGCTTGCCATGGAAGCCGGCCCCAGGTCTGCGGCGCGTTTGCCTCGGGACCCGCTGGCGCACGCCCAAGTTCTGAGGTCGGAGGATCACTGAGGGTAGACGAACCCCTGACCCTAAGAACACGATGAAGACGTAGCCTCGCTGAGGTCCCCGTCTTCGCATCAGGGGTACTAGTGCTGGGCGGTCTGTTTCGATACACCGGCGGGACAAAAAAAAAAGACCCTTTGTATCCCTAATGTTCCTGGCCCGCCTAATTTAGGTCCCCTCGGTCCTGTTTTGGCCAGTCAGAGGAGGCAGAAGCGGCACCGCCACCGCCGGCGGGGGGCACCTCGAGCGAGGAGGTGCACGGTGCTGGTCCGAGCCCGAGGCCAGAGACGTCTCGCGTGGTGCAGGGAGGTTCGGATGCAACTCCTGGGAGGTCAGATTCTGATTTTGCCCCGGTCCGACATCTGGCTTACTCCGGCTCAATTCCGTTTAATCTGGCTTCATCCCGTTCAATCTCACATGCCCTTCTTTCTGGATGAATTTCCTGGGAGGTCAAATTCTGATTTTGTCCTGGTCCGAAATGCGGCTGAATCCGGCGTAATCCCGCTGAATCGGGCTTAATCCTGTTTAATCCTGCTCAATCCGGCTTCTTCCCGCTTCATCCGAGGCCCACCCCGGCGTAACAGCCCCCCCGATGGGGCGTCATCCTCCTTATCACCCTTCCGACGAAGACCTCCCAGCAGTTGCCTCCTGAGGGGAGGCCACGCCTCCACGGGAGGGCCCACCCTGGCCCCTCGCGCCGGTGGTGCTGGTGCCGCTCCTCCCTGCGCCTGCCGAGAAGGCAGAAGGCCCCCTGCACCTCCTGCTGCGTGGCATCTTCGGGGGGCCTCGCCCGCCCCCAAAAAAATTGTGCTGTCTGCTCTCGTGCCCGACGCAGGCTCGGTGCGGACTCGACGCGGGGTTTGCGTGGATCTGACGCGGGTTCGACACGGATGCGGCACGGATCCGACGCGTCCGAGGTGGCTTCGACGCGGACGGGGCCGCAGTGGGACAGGCAAGGTCCCTTGAGGATACAGCTCATGCGAGGTCAAACTCTGATGTTGTCCTGGTCCGATATCCGGCTTAATTCCGCTTAATCCCGCTTAATCCGAGGCCATTCCGCCCCCCCGATGGGACTTAATCATCCTTAATCCTTCCTGCGAAGGCCTCCCAGCAGTTGCCTCCGAACATATCTCCTGGAGCCGGCTGCGTATCCTCTGGCGGCAGCGCTGGGCGTTGCCGAGGGGGAGTCGGGTTGGGTTGGGGGGGGGGGGGGCACCGCAGACGGCCTGCCACGCTCTGCACCGGGCCTTCTGCGGTGGTAAAAAGTTCACACTGCTCGGCCGCGGGACGCCTTCGCGGAGCGTCAGGGCACCAGGAGGAGGAGGAGAAGGCGGAGGAGAAGGAGGAGGAGGAGAAGGAGGAGGAAAGGAGGAGGAGGAGGAGGAGGAGGAGAAGGAGGAGGAGGAGGAGGAGGAGGAGGAGGAGGAGGGAGGGGCGGCCCAGGGTAACGGGCATCTTCGCCACTGCTTCTGTTGCTTCAGCGTTTCGTTGTGACGACGAGAACAACCAACAAACCAACAGCACCGACGCGACACCCAGAGTGCGCGTGGGCCCCAGGCCCCCGACGTCGTGATTTTTTCACAACGTCGACCCCCAGAGGTCTGGACCCCTTCCCTGGGACCGGTTTTTCATCCTGAGTCATTTTCTGACGGTCCCGAGGCCCGGTGAGGGCCCCAGGAGGCCGAAAACAGTGCAACACCTCCCGTCGTGTTTCTTTCACAGCGCGAGGAAGTCTGGGGCCTCAAACAAGGGCCGGGCCATTTCTGACGGGCCTCCTGCCTTTCGGAAGGCCGCTCCGTTCCATCTCGGAGCAGATCCCTGGGATCTCGTGCCTGGCGCTCTCCCGACCAGCCGTTCGAGCTGCGTGCAGCCGTGGTCGCGGCGCCAGGAAGGAGGAAGGAAAGACTTCCTGAGGGCAGGCGATCAGGGATAACTCGTCGTTTCCAGGCTCTCTCAGCCACGCGCAGAGGGGGGGTGAGGGGGAGGGGGGAGGGCTTCTGAGAAGCACGCCTGCTCCTAAGAAGCCCTCCCCCCTCCCTCCACCCCCTTGTGCGCGCCGCCAGCTCTCGGGCCCTCCCGGGGCCCCGGGACCGCCGTCGAAACACGGCTCAGAATGAAACGCTGGTCCGGGACGCGAAGGCTACGGGTCCGAGGCGGGGGTGTATTCATGGCCACCCGCGGGGGGGAGGATCGATGGAATTCGGGACTTCGGCAGGCGGTGGACGTGGGGCTACTCTGGCCCCCACAGGGCCGACACAGATCCATGTCCACCAACCTCGGTGGCCGCAGGAGGTCGGCTCCCCAGGTGGTCGATGCGGATACGCCCACGTCGCCATGGGCTGCCAGGGCTCGTCTGCTTCAGGGCACGTTGCCTGCACAGCAGGCCAAACGAGGGCGCCCCTGGAGGCCCCAGTGTGGCAGAAGGGCGCCCCCGTCGTCCTGCTCTCCCTCCTGCGCACCACCCGCAGGCGGAGTCGTTGGCTTCATGGACCTCAATCCTGTCCAGATTCTGCGGGACAACATGGTCGCCGCGCTGGTGACCAGGAGACCGGCGCTGCGCCTTGTTCGAGGGTTGATGGGGGGCGGGGCCCAGGAAAAGGAGGAGCTGGAGGAGGATGAGGAGGAGAAGAAGGTATGGGGTGGACGAGGTGGAGGAGGATGAGCAGAGGAACGGGAGGGTGCAGAGTGAGGATGGAGACTGCGAAAGGAGGAAGGATGAAACTAGGAGGATGGAGGAGGAGAAGGAAGCCGCTGTTTTCGAGGAGCAGCGTACTGCCTCCTGGCATTTCCGAGGCTGGAAATGCTGCGTCTCTCGCAGGGCGGGATGCTGCTGACTTCCCCACCCCAGGATTGCCATGGAGAACGAGCCGTACTTCGACGACTACCTCGAGATCGACATGCCCGAGGCCATGCGGGAAGCCGGGCTGGAGGTGGTGGAGGACCGGCTGGCTGGGTCCTCCTCCGCCCTCGGGAGTTTTGCCCGGCGCGGTTCAGGGATTGGTCGGCGGCGAGCCCGAGGGGGAAATCAGAAAGGGCGGGCCTTCCCAGAAGCTTCGGAAGTCTCCCGGCCTTGTGAGCAGACTCTTATTAAGCCTTCCCCGAAGGCGCGGAACATTTCCCAGAGCAGGCGCGAGGGTTCCTGAGGCGTCCCGCCGCCTTCTGAGAAGGCCTTCTCCTTCTCACTGCCTCCCCCTCGCTCGACTCCTAATTGAGGAGGAGGCGGAGGGGAGGAAAGGAAGGTGGAGCCGACAGACGAACACGAAATGTCTGCGCAAGCTCGAACGTTCGGGGCTCCTCGCCGAGTTCTCGCTTCTGCTCCAGGTTGGCCCCTGGCGGCGTCCCTGGCGCTGCCACTGGCGCGCCAGGGGCGTGCCAGCGAGAGGGGTGCACCTCCGATCCGAAATATTTGTGTGGAGCTCACATTGATTCGTTGACGTGCCCGGCTTCAAGCATTGCGTCGGGCAGGTCCCTCTACAGGAGGAATGTTCAAGCATAGTGAGATCGAGTAGGGTTCACGATGTTTCGTGTTCTGTTGATTGTTTTTGAGCTTTGTTCAACTGCCTTTCATTCGTCTTACAGTCTCCGCCTGTCGCAGATCATGCCCGACCTAATTTCAGCACGATGAGGAGTTTGGGATAGCGTGCCACGGCTGCTGGATTTGGCCCACCACATCTCTGCGCGGCACGCTACCACGTCCTCGCGCCCGAGCGTCAACGTCCCCAGCTCTCCCCCGCCTCCCGCCCTGCGGAGCAGTGCACAGCGTGTCGCCGGGGCCGCCGCGACCGCATGCGTTATGTAGTTTGCTGTGCTTCTGCGACAGGAGTCGTGGCCCGCCAAGGCGACGTGGAAGACGGCGGAGGACGCGTCCCTGAGGCTCATCGTGGCGCGCAAGCCCTCGGCGTGATGGGCGCGTGCTCCGTGTGCGAGGGAGGCTCCACGGGCGGCCCCGTGTGCGCGCGGGGCTGCACGTTTAGGATGTACAAAGAAGTCTGCTCGCCTGCGCGGTACCATTTACCCAGTGGGCTTGCGCCAGCCCGCCAGCCCCCAGGAGAGGAGGCGTGCGGCTGCTGGCGCTGTGCGCGTGGTCTGACACTGCCCGTCGTGCTGCCTGCGTGCAGGGTTGCAGCTGGTGCTCGGGCGAAGAGCACTGTGCAATTGCACCAGTCCTGGCCAGGCCAGGCCCATCCTGGGCCCAGAATCGGTGCATATGCCTTCCTGACCCAGGTAGGAGGGCGTATGCACCGATCCCGGCCTCAGGATGGGCCTGGCCAGAATCGGTGCATGTGCATAACTTGTTTTTCCTCTAGATGCGTCCTCCTATCCTTCCGCGTCTGCTGCGGGGCTTCTCGGGGGCCTCGCGGAGGCCCAGGGGGCGGTTTCTTGGAGCCCTGTCATGGCTCCCGGGGGCCTTTGTCTTCACTCCGGGAGGTGTGACAGCCAGTCATCTCACACGCCTTTTTTTTCCGGATGAATCTCCTGGGAGGTCAAATTCTGATTTTGTCCTGGTCTAAAATGCGGCTGAATCTGGCGTAATCCCGCTGAGTTCGGCTTAATCCCGTTTAATCCTGCTCAATCCGGCTTATTCCCGCTTAATCCGAGGCCCACTCCGGCGTAACAGCCCCCCCAATGGGGCGTAATCCTCCGTAGTCTTTCCGACGAAGGCCTCCCAGTAGTTGCCTCCTAACTTTCCAGCCCAGGCAAACGGGGGTCGGCGGATTACTACTGGCGCCCGCTGTGTTTAGCTGTGCTCCCGCGGGTGCTGGCCGCGCAGGCCGGGCGACTACAGCCTGTGCGAGTCTGGGCGCCGTGCGCGTCGGGGCCGGGCCCTGGCAGCTTCGGCAGCACTGTTAGATGCTCCGCCCCCGTAAGAGGTGTCGGAGTTCGCACGGCGTCCACGCTGCCATTTTTTCCGCACGGGCGGCCGGCTACATCAGGGCGAGGGCCAGGGTGTGCGGTTTGTCCACGCCGAGCAGGCGATTTGAGGCTGTGGAGGAATATCCACCGCCAGTAGTACATCCGCATCTGCGTCTTCAGAGTCGTGCCGCGGGGCCAGGCAGGGCCCATGTCCAGCCGACCGGTCCGATCTGATTCGATAGTGATTACCAGGTCTCGACGGTCAAATGCGACTCGATGCTTGCATTCAATCGGGCCTGTCCCTCTACAGAAGGAATATGATTTAAAGTAGTGAAACATAGTCAGGGGACTTTTTTTTGCGTATGTTGGGTTTTTGCGATGCATTTGTTGACTATTTCTTTGTTTTCTTCCAAATTCCGCCTGTGGGGGGACACGCCCGACCTGATGCTTGCATGGCGCTGTTGTGCATCCTGGCGCAGACTATGCGATTCGGTGTGCGCTCCGTGCGGCTGCAGCCCGACCCGACGTTCGTGTCGATGTGATCCGATGCCCCGATTCGAGGCTGACTGATCTTGCCCCGAGGAGTGGTGGATGTGACATGTGGACATCTTCCCGCCGCCCGTGTGGGCGGGCACACGTCTGTGTCCACCGCTCGCCGCGCCCGAGGGGCCGCGGGCCGGGCCTCCTGGAGCTGTGGATGCGGATGCTGCCGCGCGGTGCGACGAGTCGCAAGGTAGGCCCACGACCCTTTTCGGACCGGTGTTGGCGGTTGCCGTTCAGGCAAAAAATGACTGGGGCGTGTGCCGGCGGCACGACCAGGCTGTGTCCTGCGGAGCTTCGAAGCTGCGATCCGCCGGATTTCGTGGAAGGGCTGTCACTTGTCGGAGCCACAAGTGATGAGGAAGGGGTGGAGAAGTTGCCCTCCTTCCCCGCTCCCTCCTCTCCCTCCCCATCGTCGTCGACGTCGTCCTCGAGCTTTCGTCGGTTCGCTGTCTTCTGACTCGTTGGAGTGCTAGGTCCATGCTAGATCCTTCTCCTCGCAGACTGTGCAATGGTTGTGTGCTCATCCCAGCTTGGCTGCCTGCACTGTTGCTGACATCTCCGTATCTCGTCGTTGCTCTCCTCCGTCCTCGTCGTCGGCGTCGTCGTCTGTCGTCTGTCGTTGTCGGCGTCGTCGTCTGTCGTCTTCGTCTGTCGTCGTCGGCGTCGTCGTCTGTCGTCTTCGGCGTCGTCGTCGTCGTCGCCGTCGTCGCCGTCGTCGGCTGTCGGCGCCGTCGGCTGTCGTCGTGGTCTGTCGTCTGTCGTCTGCCGTCGTCGTCGTCGCCGCCCTCGTCGCTGCGCTCCCCCCGAGGGTGCGCCCGCGGCGCCGGCCGGCCGGCGGCGCCGGGCCCTCTGAGGCGGCGACCCCCGCCGCCGAGGGGGCGCCTGGGCCGCAGGCCGCGGGCGCCCAGGGCGCCCTGCTGCGGACCCCCTCCTGCGGTTCGGCGGCGAGCGAGGGGGGAAGATCAGATCGAGGCAGAATAAGAATAATTATAATAATGATAATTATATCAAGAATAACAATTATAATATCAATGATAGTAATAATAATAATACTGATAATAATAGTAGTAATAATATTAATAATAATAAATAATAATAATAACAATAATAATAATAATATTAATAATAATGATAATAATAATAATAATCATCATATAATCAAAAAATCATCACAGGATGTAGAAGAAGAGTAGTAAGGAGAAGGAGGAGACAAACGAAAGCGGCACAAGCATGGCACAAGCATAAATTTTTGGCGCTCCGCGCGGGTTTCCTGAATCCGCGCAGGGCCCCCTTGGCGGCGCCTTCGGCGCCGCCCCTGGCGCGCTTTCCGCGCGCCAGGGATGGGGGGTCCAGCGCAGATCCAAGAAATCCGCGCGGAGGGTCAGAGCAGAAAACGCTGTACACATAAAGTGTTGGCGCTCTAAAACAAAAACTTGTGGCGCTCCGCGCGGATTCCTTGGATCCGCGCTGGGACCCCCTGGCGGCGCCTCCGGCGCCGCCCCTGGCGCGCTCCGCGCGCCAGGGATGGGGGTCCAGCGCAGATCCAAGAAATCCGCGCGGAGGGCACTAGTTTATGGTCATGCCGTTTTTTTGTTGCTTCTATTCGAAGGGGCGGGCCTTCTCAGAAGGCTGGGAAGTCCCCCAGCCTTCTGAGAAGTCTTCTAAGCCTTTTCCCGACGACGCGGACAGCCTCTCAGAAGGCCCGAGGCCTTCTGATAATCCCCGCCGCCTTCTGAGAAGGCCTTCTCCTTCTCATTTCCCCCCTTCGCTCGCCGCCTAATGGTGCTGGTGCGTCAGACACCGCGCAGCGCCGGGGCGTGCGAGAAAGCGTTCGCCGGAAGGCTCGCGATAGTGCGACCAGTCTGCTCGAAGTCGGTCGGAGATGCCGCGCCGCGAGCTGGGCTGCGATCATGCTGCCGGACACGTGCTGCGCCCCTCCTCCCTCCCGTGCTCTTCCACGGCGGCGGCGAGGGGGGAATCCTTCGGCGTGCTGCTGCTGCTGGTGACCCTTATCCTGCTCCTCCTCCTCCTCCTCCTTTGCTCCTGGCCTACGCCGTCGTAAACCTCCTCCTCATCATCATCAGCAGCATCATCATCAGCATCACCATCATCACCATCATCATCATCATCATCATCATCATCATCATCATCATCATCATCAGCATCATCATCATCATCATCATCACCATCACCATCACCATCACCATCACCATCACCATCACCATCATCATCACCATCCTCCTCCTCCTCCCCCTCCTCCTCTTCCTCCTCTGCCTCCTCCTCCTCCTCTGCCTCCTCTGCCTCCTTCTCCCGGTGTCCCTCCTGCATGTCAGGCGCCGCGCGCCGCCAGGTCGGGGGGGGGGGCCCAGGCAGGGGGGGGCATCGACGTGCCACCTACCTCGCTGAGTACTGGGGCCCCACTGGGGCCCCGGGGGCCCTACCCCGCCGAGGAGTGTGCGGCTCCACTGCCGAGGGAGGGAAAAGGAGGAGGAGGAGGAGGAGGAGGAGGAGGAGGAGGAGGAGGAGGAGGAGGAGGAGGAGGAGGAGGAGGAGGAGGAGGAGGAGGAGGAGGAGGAGGAGGAGGAGGAGGAGGAGGAGGAGGAGGGGGAGGAGGAGGAGGAGGGAGAGGGCCAGGAGGAGGAAGAGGAGGAGGCGGAGGAGGAGGAGGACGGAGGAGGAGGAGGGGGAGGAGGAGGAGGAGGGAGAGGGCCAGACGGAGGAACAGGAGGAGGCGGAGGAGGAGGAGGCGGAGGAGGAGGAGGTGGAGGAGGAGGAGAAGGAGAAGAAGACCCCAGACCCCCCCTTCGAGTCACGCAACAGAACCGCGACGGAAGGCTTTTCGCCATCCTCGGCCCGCGGGGGGACCCCTGCCGGGTTTCGAGGCCGTCCGTTCAGGTGAAAGACCAGTCCCGGGGAATGCCGGCCATGCGCAGAGGGGGGGGCAGGGGGAGGGGGAAGGCTTCTTAGAAGCACCCCTGCTTCTCAGAAGGCGCGGTCCTTGCCTGTAGCTGTAAGGCGGGCGCCTTCTAAGAGGGAGCTTTGCTTCTACAAGAATCCATCCCCCCTCCCTCTGCCCCCCTCTGCGTGCCGCCAAGAACGGATCTGGACCTCTGGTAGGGGAACGAACCATGACATCAACATAAAACAAGACTCGGAGGTCCGCGCGGATTGCTCGCATCGGCGCTTGGCCCAAGAACGGGTTTGGACCTCTGGTAGGGGAACGAGCGATGACATCAACCAACAAAAAGACTCGGAGGTCCGCTCGGATTGCTCGGATCGGCGCTTGACCCCCCTCCCTGGCGCGCGGAGCGCGCCAGGGGCGGTGCCAGAGACGCCGCCCGGGGGCCCCAGCGCCGATCCGAGAAATCTGCGCGGAGCTCCGAGTTTTTATGTTTATGCCATTGTTTGTTTCGCCATTTGGGGGTCGCGCCGTGACACAATCACGACGTCGGGGGCCCGGGACCATATCGCCGAGCTGTCGGCCACAGGTGCTGGACGGCTGGCTCCTCCAATAAAGCGGATTCGCGGCAGTGCGCGGTTCGGGCTTCCCTCCTGCACTGCGCGCCGCCAATCTCAAGTCGGGTATGTCTCTCCACAGGAGGAGTATTCACAAATAGTCAAGCAATAGTCTGGGGACGATCTTTCTAATGTTTTCTGATCATTTTTATTTATATATTTTTGCTATTTTTTGGTTCGTCCAAAATCCCTGTGTAGGGGGACACGCCCGACCTAACGCCAATCCCCCCCCCCCCGCCCCAGAACATAGCCTGGACGCCCCCCGCACCAGGGGCTCTGGAACCCCATCCCCGGGACCAGCTTCTCCACCCGAGGTTTTTTGTTGGGGGGTTGTGGCCCTTGGGGGCCCGGCCAGGGCCCCCAGAGGCCGAGCAAGACCCATTACAGAGAGCCATCCGTTGCGATTCGTTCACGACGCGCATCCAGCCATCTAGCGCGCTTCGATGTGTGGGACGCTTGAGCCCAGGACTTCTCGACCACTTCCCCAGGGTCGGCTTTTCGTCCTGGGTCGTTGCCTCACGGCCTCGGAGCCTGAAAGTGGCTCTCAGGGACCAGCACGGGACGACATTCGAGGGGCCAGGCATTTGGTTACTTTCTTCGGCCCTCCCTTCGAGGTCGCCAGCCAGGGCTCGTTTCGATTCCTCCGATTCCATTCGACTTCGAGGGCCTCCGATTCCGATTCGATCTGACTTGGGATTCCGATTTGGATTTTGATTTCTCGACGGAGGCCTACTAGCCTGCCGATCTCCTCCGATCCGATTGTTCCCGTTTTGGCTGCCGATTTCAGGTGATCCGATTCATGCCGATCGCCGATCCGACTTGTCGATTCGATTATGGGGACGCCTGCCACGCGAGTCTCTGCAGACAGCAAGATGCTCCTCCTCCTCCTCCTCCGCCTCCTCCTCCGTCGCGCTTCCTCCTCCTCCTCCTCCTCCTCCTCCTCCTTCTCCTCCTCCTCCTCCTCCTCCTCGTCCTCTCCTCCTCCTCCTCCTCCTCCTCCTCCTCCTCCTCCTCCTCCTCCTCCTCCTCCTCCTCCTCCTCCCCCGCCTCCTCCTACTCCTGCGCTGCGCGATCTTCAAAGCGGCCGCCCTCTGTGCCCAGGCGAGAGCCCCCGCCGCCCGCGCATGCTCGCGCTCCCCCACCCCCTGGCGCGGCTGCACGCAAGCAAGACCGACCCCTCGCCGGAGCGGCCTCCGATGGGCCGATGTTCCACCACCCCGAAACCCTAGGTCGGAGAGGGAGAAGGAGGAGGGGGCGGAGGGGGAGGAGGAAGAGGACGAGGAGGAGGAGGAGGAGGAGGAGGAGGAGGAGGAAGAGGAGGAGGAGGAGGAGGAGGAGGAGGAGGAGGAGGAGGAGGAGGAGGAAGGGGGAGGGGGAGAAGGAGGAGGAGGAGGAGGAGGAGGAGGATGAGGAGGTCGAGGAGGAGGAGGGGGAGGAGGAGGAAGAGGAGGAGAAGGAGGAGGAGGACGAGGAGGACGAGGAGAAGGAGGAGGAGGAAGCGGACCTCCCCCTCCTCCGTTTCCCCCCGCCCTGCCCGGATCGCAGTGGTATCGTGGGCACCTGGCCCAGTCGACCCTTGTGGTGCGCGGCCTCGGGGGGTCGCGGTTGGGGGGGGGGGTGCGGCAGCCCCGAGCGCACAGGCCGCCGCGTGTCGCAGCGCGCGCCGGCGATCGGCAAAAGTCGCGCACCAGAGGCCACTACCGTTGAGTCGGGCGCGTCCCCCCACAGGGGCTTTTTCGACTGAAAGATACCCCAAACCTGGAGCTCCAGCCAAACCCCATCTTTCTGTGACGGCGGCACCTGGGCTGAAGTCGAGCTTTTGAGAATTTTTAATATATTTTTCATTTTTCGCTCAACATCCGCCTGTAGGGGGGACATGTCCGACCGAAACCTGGGCCCGCTGCCGCGCGAAGACGCCCAGCGTGCAAGCCAAAGGTGCAACGCCTGGGTCGCAGGGTGTTGCCCACGGTCAGTCGCAGACATCATCCAGTACAGTCGGGGCCCCGAAGAAGGAACCCTTTTCGTTGGGAAGGGGCTCCGCGTTCCTTAAGTGTTTCACACCTTGCCTCAGGCTTTCCTGATGTTTTCGACAGCAAATCGAAGGTTAACTTATGGAAAAAACGGGCCTCGTTCCTTATTTGGTTCCTTAGGTCAGCGCCCCGACTGTATGATTCTTTCGGTGCGCGGCCCCCGCATGGGGTCCCGACCCCTTCCCCATGGGGCAGTTCTGCGGTGTGGATCCGTGCTCGGTGGCCCTGGGGCCCGATGACGGGTCCAGAGGCCGACATCTCGAAAAAGCGCCCAGGTGGAACAAATCATAGGGGGCGTTCCATTGAGGGCCTCGCCTTCGAGGATCGTAGGGGTTCTCACCTCTTCTGCAGCGGAAGGTCGGCGGAAGTAAAACGAGGCCGCCTCCGCCGGCGGAAGGTCGGCGGAAGGGCGGCGGAAGGTGGCGGAAGTGAAATCTGCGCCCCCAGGAGACGAATGCGTTTTTGGGTTCAGGGTTTCCAGAATCCGCCATATGTCAGGAGGGAAAAAAGACATACAAACACAATTAATCGTCGATTCCCCAGAAAATATGGGAACATATGGGAAGTGGAGGGGAAGACAGAAACCCAGAAAATAGGGGAAGAAATGGGGAATATGTGTATTTGTGTGTATCTATTTGTGTGTCCTGGGGCCCCTTCAATATGCCATCGTCCATTCTGTTCGCGTCACAATGGCTTTGTATTTGAGCGGCGGTCATGGCCAGCATGGGGTCACATCGCCCCGTGTGGTCACGGGGCACGGGGTCACAGCGGCCCCGTGATAGGCTTGCGAGGGCTCCCCCCGAGGGCTCCCGAGAGGGGTCGCGCAACGTGCCCGCCAACAAGGGTGGTCCAGGTCGGGTTTTTAAAGGGGGTCGGGTGTTCCCTGGGTCTGCTCGCGTTCCCTCGTAAGTTTGCCAGGGAGCCCCCTAGCGTCGTTCCTTTGGAAGGCAGGGGCCGCCGTCAAAACGAGAGGCAACGGCGCGGGAGCGCCCCTCGAGAGGGGCATGGCCGCCTCCAAAAATGCATGATTCGGTCTTGAAGACAGGGGCTCCAGGGCTCCGTTCCGTATCTGGCGGTTTTTTTTTTCTGGCAGCGCCATGATTCTACAAAATGGACGCGTCCACAGGGGGCGTTCCAGGAAGGGCCTCGACTTCGAGAGTCGAAGGAGCTGCCACCTCTTCCTCGGCGGAAGGCGGCGGAAGGTCGGCGGAGGTAAAACGAGGCCGGCTCCGCCGGCGGAAGCTGGCGGAAGTAAAACAGACGCCCCCAAGAGGTGAACACGTTTTTGTGTCGGGGTTTCCGAAATCTGCCATCCATACAGTGGAGACCCGTACCAAGAAACACCTCGCTTGCTTCCAGGGGCCCTGGGTTTCTGGGGTTTCGAGGGTTCTGCAACGGAAAGCGCGACGTTCCCACACCAGAGAACAGTAGATGTCCTGGGGTCTCAGGGTCGAGGAGGAGGAGGAGGCGGAATGGGAGGAGGAGGAGGACAAAAAAGAGGAGGATGATGAGGAGGTGGAGGAGGAGGAGGAGGAGGAGGAGGAGGAGGGGAGGAGGAGGAGGAGGAGGGGAGGAGGAGGAGGAGGAGGAGGAGGAGGAGGAGGAGGAGGAGGAGGAGGGGGAGGAAGAGGAGGAGGTGGGGGAGGAGAGGACGAGGAGGAGGAGGAGGAGGAGAAGAGGAGGAGGAGAAGAGGAGGAGGAGAAAAGGAGGAGGAGGAGGAGGAGCAGGCGGGGAAGGAGGAGGAGGAGCAGGAGGAAGAGAAGGAGGAGGAGGAAGAGGAGGGGGAGCGGAGGCGGAGAAAGAGGAGGAGGAGAAGAGGAGGAGGAGGAGAAGCAAAGGATGATGATGATGATGCTGATGATGATGATGCTGCTGCTGCTGCTGATAATGATGATGATAATGATGATGATGATGATGATGATGATGATGATGATGATGATGATGATGATGATGATGATGATGATGATGATGATGATGACGATGCTGATGCTGATGCTGATGCTGATGCTGATGCTGAGATGCTGCTGCTGATGATGATGCTGATGCTGATGCTGATGCTGATGCTGATGCTGATGCTGATGCTGCTGATGATGTTGACAACCATGATGATGATGATGATGATGATGATGATGATGATGATGATGATGATGCTGCTGATGCTGATGCTGATGCTGATGCTGGTGCTGGTGCTGGTGCTGGTGCTGATGCTGATGCTGATGCTGCTGATGCTGCTGATGCTGATGCTGATGCTGTTGCTGATGATAAGGATGATGACCATGATCATGATGATGATGATGATGCTGCTGATGATGATGATGATGCTGATGATGATGATGATGCTGATGATGCTGATGATGATGATGCTGATGCTGATGATGATGATGATGGTGGTGATGATGATGCTGATGCTGATACTGATGCTGATGCTGATGCTGCTGATGATGCTGATGCTGATGCTTATGCTGATGCTGCTGATGACGATGATGACCATGCTGATGATGATGCTGATGATGATGATGATGATGATGATGATGATGCTGATGCTGATGCTGATGCTGCTGCTGCTGATGATGATGACCATGATGATGATGATGATGATGATGATGATGATGATGATGATGATGATGATGATGATGATGATGATGATGATGATGATGATGATGATGATGATGATGATGATGATGATGATGATGATAATTATGATGATGATGATGATGATGATGATGATGATGATGATGATGATGATGATGATGATGATGATGATGATGATGATGATGATGAATGATGAATGATGAATGATGAATGATGAATGATGGATGATGATGATGATGATGATGATGATGATGATGATGATGATGATGATGATGATGATGATGATGATGATGATGATGATGGTGAGGATAATGAGGATGATGAGGATGAGGATGAGGATGAGGATAATGGAGGAGGAGGAGGAGGAGGAGGAGGAGGGGGGGGAGCACGAGGAGGAAGAGGAGGAGAAGGAGGCGGAGGAGGCGGAGGAGGAGGAGGAGGACGAGGAGGAGGATGAGGAGGAGGATGCTTCTTGTGGTCTGGCCTCCACCGGATCTCGGCGGAGACCCGGGCCGGTCGCTCCTGCGTGCAGCCGGGCCAGCGCGGCTGGCGCGGCTCCGCCTTGGGCCGCCCGGCCCGCGCCCCCCCCGCGCAGCGCCTCGCCGCGCGCCCCAGCCGGGCGCCCCGGGAGGCCGCGGCGCTCGCCTCGCCTCGGCGGCCTCCGCGGCGGCCGCGGCAGCGGTCGAAGGGCAACACCGAATGCATCCACCAGCCCTCGAAGAAGAGAAGAACACCATACACATGGACTCGTAGCGCTCCGCGCGGGGTTCTCGGATCCGCGCTGGGCCCCCCCCCCCTGGCGGCTCGTCCGGCGCCGCCCTTGGCGCGCTCCGCGCGCCAGGGAGGGGGGGTCCAGCGCAGATCCAAGAAATCCGCGCGGCGCTCCAAGATTCCACGTTTATTGCGTTTTCATGTCATCTAGAGAAGGTACCCCTACCTCTACCCTAATCGCCCGTGTTTCCCCTTCTTGGGCCTCCAGGGAGGCCCTCGTCGCCACCTCCGGATTCGCCTCGAGATCCTGGTCAGAACGCACCCCAGGAGAGGTCCGGGGGTGAGCGGTATCGGTACCTTTTGGTTTCCCCAGAAGCAAACCTATACGACCCACCCTGCGGGTGATAAGGAGGTCGGGGGGAGGGGAAAGAACCAATTGCTGGCAATTGCGATGGGTGCGGTGATGACGATGCTGGTGGCGCGCCCTCGAGTTAGTGATGAGGCGTGATGAAGATGTTGCGCCGCGATGTGTTGTCACCAGCGGCCCCGCTATCGATCTCACTCGATCGATCTTACGGCCAGTCTTAGTATCGATGGATCCAGCGATCGATCATGTTAGCGATCTCACACTGAGTGGCGCTGAGTACGATCGGGACACGATCGGGACACCATGGAGCCAAATCAGTGTCACTGCCACTGCGCTGTGATGGATGCTTGCTGACTGTGGTGGTTGAGTGTTGATGATGGTGATGATGATGATGATGATGATGATGATGATGATGATGATGATGATGATGATGGTGGTGGTGGTGGTGGTGGTGATGGTGATGATGATGATGATGATGATGATGATGATGATGATGATGATGATGATGATGATGATGTTGATGATGATGATGATGATGATGATGATGTGATGGTTTTTATGCACTCGCGACATCGCTTCCAAGTGAACTGCGCCCCAGTTGCCCGAGCCCGTCGGACTTGATGACCGAGTCGCTGCCAGCACGGCTCACAACCCGACAGAGCTTGGCATAGCTTGGGCCACAAAGCTCGGTGCGAAAGTGCGCTGGCAGAGCCTGGCGCTGGCAACCGCGCTTCTCGGCTATGGCCATGGCGACCTCCACAGAGAAGCCAGCGCACAGGCGGACGCAAGTGGGCAGAATGGCTCGGACACAAGGCGCCGAATTCTCCGCGCGGGAGCCTCCGACCAGTACTCGCTGTCCGGGTCTTTCGCGGGTTTGGCAGGCGTGGGAGTCTGGGAAGAGTCTGGTGGCGGCGCCGCCAGGACGGCCTACCAGTCCACCGCCAGACGGCGCGTCTGCGCAGCAGCCTCGTCCCTGGGCAGCTTCGCCACGTGCTCGAGTGCGGCGGTCGGGCACGTGGCACCGACAGAGCCCGACGCCTGGCATGTGTTGAGGCGAACGAACAGTTCTCGGATCCGCGACGGATCCCCCTCCCTGGCGCGCGGAGCGCGCCAGGGGCGGCACCGGAGGCGCCGCCAGGTGCCCCCAGCGCCGATCCGAGAAGTCCGCGCGGACCTCCGAGGCTTTCTGTTTATGGCATCGCTCGTTCCCCTCTAACTTTCCGATGCTCCAACCTACTAGCGTGGATCACCAGAAATAATTTCGAGCACCAGAGAAAAAAGGTACCGAAACTCGCAGGTTTTCACGTGTCGGGCCCTGGGAGACACTCGCCCGACTCTGTTTCGACATTGTTCCGACGCTTTTTCGACACTTTTCCGGGTGCTCGGAACTATTTCTGGGATGTGGTCCTTAAGTTTAAGTCGGGCCTGTCCCTCAGCAGGTGGAATATTCAAAGATAGCCAAAACATAGTTTGGGGATTCTGTTTTGCTTATTGTTTGCCCTTTTTGGAGTATGTTTGGGGTATTTGCTTTACTTTTCGCCCAACATCCCCCTTGTAGGGGGACAGGCCCGACCTAACCTCAAGTACGATGGGAGCAACGTAACTCTAATCGTCTGCTCCTCGCTCCCGACACGTTTCCGAGTGCTCTAAACTACTGCTGGGATGTGGTCTTCAAGTGCAGCACCGTAACTCTGGCCGTCTGTCCCTCGATCCCTCACGGCAGGGCGACGAAGCCTGTGCACACATGTCCATTGCGCCCTGGTCGGGCCCAGCAGCGGCGTGTGCGCCGCGCCCTGCCGGCTCGGCCAGGAGGGCACGCGCTTCGGGGCATACACCTTAGGCGATGCTTAAGAAAACTTAAGTTTTCGGCCAGAGTCTCGATTATTCTTAACGTTTCGATGTAGATCCTAAAATTTGACTAGACATTCTGGATTTTTATTCAAATTCTGAGACTATGAGTTTCTTAACCCATGATTTCTAAAGCATTTCGCAGGGTGTAGTTGGCCAGGACTCCAGGCAAGGGGGACACACGCGGCAGGCATGGGCCCCGCCGGCGGAGGCCACTGCAGGGCCGGCGGGAGCAGCGCCCGCCCTCCGCGCGAGGAGCGGCAGCTGCTCTGCAACCTCCTGGCCTGGGGCAGGGAGGCCACCTCATTATCGTCCTCCTCCTCCTCCTCCTCCTCCTCCTCCTCCTCCTCCTCTTCGTGCCTAATTATGGTATTGGTGGCGGCAGATCCTGGAGTTTTAGCTGAGGTGTCGACGTGTTTTGGGGACCAGCCCCGTGCTGGCATCGACAAAGAGAGGAGCTCATATGGGGGTCAAGCGCGCTCGAGCTTCCCATATCAAGAGGAGAGGCGGCAACTGTGTTGGATTCAGGGCTCCTGGAGTGGCCCACAGCATCCAGACCCGCCAGGGCTCATAGATCCCCGAGCCTTATAGTGGAACAAAAAGTGGCATAAACATAAAACCTCGGAGGTCCGCGCGGATTCCTCGGATCCGCGCTGGACCCCCCTGGCGGCGCCTCGGGCGCCGCCCCAGGCGCGCTCCGCGCGCCAGGGAGGGGGGTCCAGCGCCGATCCGAGAAGTCCGCGCGGACCTCTGAGTTTTTTTTAATGCTTCTGCCACTTTTTGTTCCCCTATGACTCACGTCGCTCGGGAGCTCCCGAGCCAGGGGAACCCCACCCTCCCCCTCAGAAATCGTGGGGGGTACACCTTAGGCG